CTAACAACACACAAATGTAAGTCAAAAAGTTGATGTAAACATGGAATGAAAAGATAAAGGATTTTTTGTTATAAATTTGATGAAGTTTCCTTCACCTAGGGTTCCAGTTCATACATGCAGAGGTTGATTCCAAACGGAATGTGTTTAAACATATCTCTGTGGGTCTTAGTCTCCTTAGCGTGCCTTCTAAAGTAAGGTCCAATCCAAACAGTGGTTTCTAAGGGAATGTGCCGGGCAAGTACCATTCAAGGCCGAGAGCCCAGCTCAAAGTTATGAAGACTGTGTTTGGGGATTGCAAAGGGGTCCTTTGGATAGATTTTCTTGTAAGGACACAGGACAAGCATGGTGGCTTACGAGGAAGGAGTTTTAAAGTAAATTGGAAACCTGCATTGGTTGGAAAACTCTAAGAAAGTTAGGCCAAGGAACGTTTCCCATCACTATAATGCACCTGCTTCTCTTTTTTCGAGGGTTGGCAGGGCCTTCTGTGGAAATATCCGTCAGGGAAACCTTGCCCCACACACCCTCCAACCCAGATCTTGCCCCTTCAGATTTCTCTGTGTGCCCCAGACTCGAAGAACATTGAAAAGGGACCAGGTTTGTGCCCCTTGAGGATGCTCAGAGCACCATATTCATGTGGTGACATTTGAAGATTGCAGATTTCTCCCAAGAATATCGTCTAGAGAGAAGTGTATAGATTTCAATGGAAGATATAATGAAAACAGTCAGTTTAGGTTCACATGTTGATATTTTTATATAATAATGGTTCTTAATGATTTTGCAGCAATACTTTATGACTTATCCTTGTCTATATGTGTGTACGTGAGAGAGCGAGAGTGTGTCTGTGAGTGTGTATCTCCTATGTTGGTGGCGCAGTGGTTAAAACTGTTGGCTGCTAACCAAAATCGTCAGTTCAAACCTATTAGCTGTTCCATGGGAGAAAGAACTGCCAGTTTGCTTCTTCAAAGCCTTGGAAACCTAATAGGGCAGTTTCGCTCCATCTTACAGGGTTGGTATCAATTTGAAAACAGTGGGTTTACGGAAGAGACGTGTTGACATAGTGGTTAAAATGCTTTGCTAGTCAAAACCTAGCAGCCATTTTTAAGGAGAATGAAGTGGCAGTCAGTCTGCTTCTGTAAAGATTCCCCCACTGCCATGGATTCAACTGTGACTCATGGTCGCTTCTGCCCGGGGTTTATGATGTTGTAATGTTTACAGGAGCAAGCAGTCTCATTTCTTTCTTGCTGAGTGGCTGATTGACACCATGTAGCAGTATCTGCGAGTCTTGAGTGGGTCTGTGCTTGACATCCTGACATTTTGTATTTATCAAGGGCCTCTTTCCTCAGGAAGTCTCCCTTCCTGATGGGTACAAGCCACCATTTTGCTTACAACGGCCATTTTGTCTGGGGCCGCCATTTTGCCCAGTGCTGCCATTTTACCTAAGGCCCAGGGTTCTTCCTCATCTCAACTCCATAGCTCCAGTGACAGAATGAAAGGTCAAAGGTTCCGCCTGTTATAGTAAAGATGGTTCCAGAAGGAAAAGCTAGGGTTCTTGTTAAACAACAGAAAGGGTTCTAGGAAAACTGAAGCATCCATCCTTCTCAGTACCCTTATTTTGTTACTAAAAAAAATTTTTTGGCTGTCTCTTAATTATTCAGAAATTGGATCATTTTGTGGGAGAGAACCAAATGTTGTCTACCGTAGGATGCAAAGATAGAAGCAAACTCATAAATCAGCCATTTGGCGCGATGCTCTTTCTCACTCAGCAAGCGCCCATCGAGATATTTGATGGATTTTCATTTCACCCCGATGCCACATACTATAGGATTTCTCCCCAAGAGGCCACTACCCTGTGATTGATCTAGATCTGATATATATATATTCATTATATATATATATATGAATTGTTTGAACATTGTTTTCATACATAAAATGCATGATTATGTATTCCAGTCGAGAAAGACTCTCAGTAACCCCCAAATCCCTTACAAATGCTTCTGTGTACTTTTTTAAACCATTCATTTTCTCGCTGCTGCTGCTGGTGTTGAGAACACACATCAACTCAACAGTCTCTCCACGTACAATTCAGTGACGTTCATGATGCTCTTTGAGTGGTACAATCACACTCATCTCCCTTTTCTGAGTTGTTCCTGCCCCAGGGACACAAACTCATTGCTCCTTATGTGTGTTTCTGAGTTGCTGTTGTCAGTTTGATCACATAATTGTTGTTGTACTTAAGTGCCTTCGAGGCAGTTCTGACCCATAGCGGCCCTGTATAGGGCTTCCAAAGAGTGGTTGCTGAGCTTGAACCACTGACCTTGTGGCTCAAACTGACTTATCCTATAGATGGAGTTCTTAAAAGAGCGAAATGCTCAAGGCAGACAGTCTTTACTAGTTTTAAACTAAACTCTTGTTTGGTTGTAAGAATACTTCAGGAAATGTTTTTGGTTTAAGGTTACCTCAGGACAATAGTTTGAGGAGGTCATGCAGCCTCTATGCTTCCTTACAATCTGGATTCCATGAGAGTTCTGTTCTACATTTACCCTTTTTGGATCAGAATTCTTCCATTCAACCTTTGATCAAAATAGTCAATCATGGTATTTATTGCTAAGTGAATAGTAATAATAATTTATTATTGTTTTTACCACTGTCCGGTATTTTGGCATTGACGAATCGTGTGTTTGAAGATATGCCCTTGGAACATCCAAAAAAAAAAAGTTTTCCATTGCTAAGAGATGGTTCATAATGGCGTTCTCAGGTAGACGGTGTTATTGAATGTCACTTAAGCACTGATTTATCTTGTGTATGTCCATAGCACCCATGCCCAATATACTACAATTCAGTAGCGTAGTGGTTACAAATTGGGCTAAGAACCTTAAGGTTAACAGTTTGAAACTACCAGCCTCTCCGCGAGAGAAAGATGAGGCTTTCTGCTCCCATAAAGATTTATAGCGTTGGAAACCCTGTACAGGGTTGCTATGGTTCGGAAGGGACTAGACGGCACATAACAGTAACAACAACAATGCATTCATCATGGCGCCCAACAACCACCAGCGTCAGTGGTCCAGTTTTCCAGCCACGTAAAAGAGCTGAGGAGGTAGAACGTTGAAGGGCGATCCTCCCAGCTTTCTCAGGAAGGCAATGGAGATATATTTTCAGAGGAAAGGGATGCCATTGGGCAGAAGGTAAGAGGGTTCGTGTTCGGCAGTTGGAATCCATGAAAACCTTGGAGTTTGATGCGGACAGCTGAAGCATTATGGGAAATGCCTCAGTTTGTTTACTTTTTCTAACACGAGAAAGATGAATTAGGTAGAGTACTCCACTGAGCAGTCTACGTAATTCCTAGTGTAGGGCTATAGGATAAGCACTAGGATGCTAACCACAAGGATGGAAACAAGGTCGCTGTAAGTTGGAACGGACTTGAGGGCACTTAACAACAGCAACCACTGTGTTCAGTGGAGAGGCAAGATTGGCGTTCAGGACAAGGGATCACGTAGACTCCCAGGATGCTCAGGGAAGATACAGGACTCATTCCTTGGGGTTTTCCTGCCAGGCTCACACTCTTCACATGACCTACTGTGGCCCCTCAGTACTGTGTGCTAAGTAGCCATGCTTCACCAAATCATTTGGAGTCACACACCTGTTTCCTGGTATGAGAAAATGTTTACAGTGCCTGCCGTCCATTTAGGAAAAGTGATGATTTTATTTAAATTTGATAAACAGTGTCTTAGGGAACCTACCTATAAAGGTACTGTGAATCAGTCAGATTCAGTTCAATGGCAGAATGTTTGATTTGGGGTGGAATCCATGCTTTAGGTCCCTGGTAGCGCACAGGGTTTGCTCTTGACATGGAAAGGTCACCAGTTCAAATCTACTGGGTTTGGAAACCTTATGGACCTCAGTTCTCCTCTGACACACTTGGAGTTGCCCTGAACCAGCGTCTGTGGAAGTTGGGTTTTGGTTTTAACCATTGGTTGGACTCGCTGGATGGCACCAGTACACAATGTGTTTGGCTGTTCTCCAAAAGGTTAGTGGTTTGAGTCCACCCAGAGCACAGCTTGCTACTGACACTGGTGGGGTTCACCAAGAGTTAGAATCAATTGCATGGCGCCTGTATCCATTGGTTGGCCAATCTTGTAACTAATAGTGAAATTTGGAGTTGTAGCTACAGTCAACTCTGTAACCTGTAGACTTCGTCTGTCTTTTGGATGTTTTCTACTTGCTGGGCCCTGTTGTCCGTGGTGGGGTACACAGCAATATGGTAAGAACAAAGACCATCAAAGTTCTTGTCAACTTCTATTACACGTTCTCACCAATAACAAATTGGCCAATCGTTAAGGCTTTCAGAGAGTGAAGGCGAAGGCAGGATGTTTGATTTGCACATGGCTCTGCTGTACAGGGTCGATATGAGTCGGAACTGACTCCACGGCACTTAACAACAACAGTAACTGCTGTGCTAACCAAAAGGATGGTGGTTTGATTCTACCCAGTGTCTCTGTGGTGGGAAATACTTGGTGATCTGCTCTCGTAAACTTGACATCCTAGGAAACCCTCCAGGGCATTTCTACTCCTTCACGTGGAGTCAGTGGCACGTGACAAACATAGTGATGGTCCGCATTGTTCTGAATAAGCCAGTGTGGTGAGCGGTGGTTACCTTTGCTTCATTCTTATCTGCTTGCTCTTCCTCATAGGCTGGTGGCTGTGCCTGGAATGTTCAGTGAGGAGCGGCTGTCCTTGGACATCATTTGCTGGTTACCACTTTTTTGGAGTTCCTCCTTGTTAGCATTGAAGTCTGAGATTAAGAGGTCTTGCTTCTTCGCCATGGACTTCCAAGAATACCACTTCGCTTGCTGACGATATTGGGCTCCGTCTGTGACCAGACCAAGAAGAGTCTTAGCACAACACTTCTCTGGGACGACCCTCTTGCTTGGTGGGCTTCCTTCTCGGTGGTGAGTCCCCTTGGAGTTGAGTTCCACGGAGGCTTGCGGATGTTTGTGTGAAACATGTCGAGGTCCGGGGGACTGTTATGGCTGGCCTTGTCCTTCACGCCAGTCTATGCCATGGTCAACCCCAACGTGCTCCTGTGGACCACCGCTCTGACCATCCGCTTTCTCCTTATCGACAGCCAAGCCCAGTACCCGGTGGTGAACACAAATTACGGCAAAATCCGTGGCCTAAGAACACCTTTGCCCAATGAGATTTTGGGCCCCGTGGAGCAATACTTGGGGGTTCCCTATGCCTCGCCTCCCACTGGGGAGAGAAGGTTTCAGCCCCCGGAGCCCCCTTCCTCGTGGACTGGAGTCCGAAATGCCACCCAGTTTGCTGCTGTTTGTCCTCAGCACCTGGATGAACAGTCTCTACTCCATGACATGATGCCCATCTGGTTTACCGCCAACCTGGACACCTTGATGACGTACGTGCAAGATCAGAACGAAGACTGCCTTTACCTGAACATCTATGTGCCCACCGAGGACGGTAAGTCCCGCCAGGAAGCAGAAAACAACACCTGCTTCCTTGCTTTGCAGTAGGGAGAGAGCCCCAGAGTTTACTCACTGATTCGTGTCTCACGCTGTATTCTAGAACCTGTTTAATTGTTCACTGCATTCCTGTGCAGTGATCACTGAGCATGCGTTCCGCCTAGATTTTTCAGAAGGTTCGTGTGGATGACCAGTCCTCCTTGAATGTGTCGAATTTTTTCCCAAGATGGTCTTCTGAAAGTCTCCACTGGGTTCACTGTTACATAATGACCAGTCAGACCCACGAACTTCATAGATTGAGGTGGGGAGTTATGAAGGACTTTCAGAAAGTCTGTGGGCCAAGGTGATGGAAAGGTGAAAGGTGAAAAGACCATGGGATCTCTCCACAGACTTTGTGAAGCCCCCTTGCCCCTGGTGTATGAGAGCATCCAGAGGAACTATGCCTATGGGTGAATTTGCAAGCTGAGTAAATGTTAGGGGTGGTCCCTTTGCCTTTGCTGCCCCACGATTTTATATGCACTGTTTCTGCTGAGCTTTGAAGGGAAGGGCGTGGATTCTTTTTACTGCGCAAGCAAGAGAGAGCGTTCAGAAAACGCCAGGATCCTGGGGTTTAGAAGGCATTCCCTCCATGGAATGTTGGACCTGGCTCTCTTCCAATGCCCACTGAAGTCGACTGTGGGCATGTGTAGTCAGGTAACTGGATAATTATAACGGCACTGCAAAAAATGCCTGCTTGCCTGGAAGAACAACCCTTGTCTTTGCTGTAAAATAACTGGGAAGTCTGTCAGAACTGCAGCCCTCAGTGTACTATCTAGTCCAGCATGATTAAAATGCAGGCATGCCCACGCCTGCATAGATTTCAGAAGGCGTGTCCACGTAAGACTAACCGCACACGGGGGTGCCAGCATGGCATCTTGTGTTTTCAGATACCATTTGTACATGGTATTTTTGTTAAGGAAGAATGAAGGAAAAATATTTGGTGACATATCTATCTATCTATCTATCTA